AGTATATATATATATATATATATATATATATATATAACTACTAATTTAGAAAGAGATTCTGTGATTTCCAGGATGTGCATATGATGTGATGAACAGGGTGCGACAGCATGAGCAGGAATGAGCAGCGTGTATGCAGCTGATCTGAGGGAAGTTCATTTATGAGTGAGGTTTGGAAAGCTAAAGCCCTTAAGAGATTAGAGATGTGAGCAGTCTGGACACTCCAGTATTTTGAGACACACACTGCCCTCTGCAGACCTCTGAGCATTACATTATAAAACTTCATGCATGCACATACATACTGATACTGTGGATCATATTCTGAATACTGCACCAAGCACATCAAAACAGCCATAATTGCTCTCTATTTAAATATATATTTATACGGAAAAATATTTTAAATACTGCACCATTGTATTCTGTCTCAGTCAGACACTTACTTGAGTTAATTCATTCATTCATTCTCTAGCGCTGCTAAACTGGTATTTGCTAACATATTATTTAAATTTCTAACAGTCATAGCCCAGGTTACAGAAAAAAGTATAATAGAGGGAATAACTTAAGTCATACACAAGAACACAAGTGTAAGTCTGTTCAGAATTGTTTATTGCAATACAAACATTACATCAAGTGCAAAAAAAGAAGAAAATCCAAGAGTCATTCTACAGAAAAGTAGCCATTTGTGTCTCTCCTATGAATGTGTGTACTGTAGAAAAATGCATCCCTGTTATCATTTTTTGTCTTTTAACTGCAATGGCTATTCTATAAATCATAGTTTAAAGTGAGCTTTTCAAGGACAAGCTACAGTAAAGTCTTCTATCACTTTTTTAGTAGATGATTTTGAAATGTCATTACTATTAGCAGTAACAGAAAAAGTCACTTCCGCCTGCTTATATCAGTCACATTTGTGTTAGAATTGGGTCCAAATGCAGCAAGTCTGTGAGTGAAATGTAGAAAAAGCTTTTCCCCCCCTTTAGTAATATTAAGTCATTCAAATAGTTTCAGCTATGTGACAGAAGCAGAGTGAAAGCTGATACTAAGCTAATTTCCCCAGATTGAGATGGATCAGTGATACATTATTTCCAAAAGCAACAACACCAAAAAAGCACATTCAAATTAAAAATGTACAAAAATTAATTTGATAAAAAAAGTAATTTTTGAATCATGCACAGTTGCAGATGTGTGCTGCATTGCATATACAGTACACGTGTGTCCATGTTATAAAGTGATATTACTGTATATGAATTTAAGATATAATATATGATATCTTATTGGAAAGAAGCATGTAAATTGGGCCAAACCAATTTGATGTGACTTCCAGGATCCTGGATCCCAGCTTCATTGTTAACAAATTTGTAGATAGTTCAAGACAGAAATGAATGATTCTGTTGCAGTAACTCACAGCTGGTCGTGTTATGTTCATCTAAAGAATAGAACGGACCAACAAACCCTGCAAAAAACAAAAAAGTCTCTTATTAAATACACTTCATCAAATACACTTATCACACAAGGATTTACAATGAATATCACTTACCTCCTGAAATGTTGGAATAGTAGACCAGCAGCTCAATTCAGCTAAAAGATACAAAAATAAGTACTTTACCATTTGATCAATATCATAATACTGCATAAAATGTTACAGTGTTACCATGTGCCTTTCATTCCAACAATGAGGACTCTCATCACCATGAAGGCATGATATGAACTATATTTCATGTCTCATTGCAAAACAATCTTAGAAGACTTAAAACATTAAAATTCTAAATACATTTACTTGGTTGCTTGCTTTCACTGACAAGCTAACATAGTAATAGCACATCATACAGTTGCTCAAAGAACATCAATTAAATTCACTCATTTGAAAGAAAACAACTGCAAAATGAGCAAATGTAAGATCAGTGTAGCTGATCCTGATTTTTGTCATAACTGGTCAGTAGAAAAATAACAACACACACATAAAAATGTGTATGTTCGGCTTTTTCCCCAATAAGCCATTTTTATTATTTAAAATATGCTGTTTAAGATCATTTAAATAGTGTTAAACTTTCCAGGACAACAGTTGTGGACTTACTTTGGCTGTTGATTTTGCCCCTTTGTTTTCTTAAAAAATACAGAATGACACAGACGGTCAGTGATATGAGGACACACAGAGACACTATTGTGGTCATCAATACTACTGTCAGATTAGCTGTCACTGTTTCACTCTTGTCACTGTTGTTGCCTTGAGTTTGTATCCACTGTATAGAGTAATAATATAACTCTTAAGTTTGTTAGCCTTTTTGCTATGATGCTTGCTATGGTTATACAACAATAATTCGGTTTTAACTCAACAAACATGAGAAGGGGGTCTCGCCCAGGGTGTAATTCAATGTAGAACCACCACTGGAAACACGTTACTAGTCATATTATGCATGTATATAGCTCTCTAATCGTGATTATTAGCTTATTTTGAATAATTTGCATTCTCACTTATAATACTCAGGTTAAATCGAGTTGAATGAAGGCAGTCCTGATCCTTGTAGACCTGACAGTCATAAAAGCCATCATCGGATAATCTGATGTCTTTCAGATCAAGTGTAACATTTCCATCATCTTTCCTCACAGACCATCTCTGGTGCTCTGATGCTGGAGAGATGTCTGGATATATCAGGATGTCTTTATCTTGGGTTTTCTTGTGTAGTTTGACTGTTAGAGACTCCAGCGGGTGGGTTGTGGTTAGGCAAGAAATAGACATGCTGTCACCCTGAACACAGTTTATGTTCAACTGATGAACCTGCTTGCAGGGTCTCCGTGTTTGAGCTAAAAGGAAATTAAAAAGAAAAACAATCCACCCTGAGAAAATGAGACTTTTTTTATTAAAAATGTATTAAAACAAATACTTAGTGACACACTTATTGATTTATTAAGTTTTACACATTAGCTAGAGCAGAAACTAGAGGTCAACAGAAACTTAAAATAAGTAACAATTATGTAACCTATGAATGGCATTGATTATATTCATGTCACACCTGTGCCACATGTACACACCCACAGTACACTGATAAATAATATGCATAACTCTTCTTTGTATGGTGGTTAAATGAATTTGACTTCATATAAAAGATACTTACCTTTACATTCTAATAAAGCTGCTATTAGAAGATACAGGAGTTGGAAATGCGAAAGCTGAAAACACTTCATCATATCCAGATGCTCACTGCAGGACAGCTGAACTCTATGGGCACCGGCCACATCACTTCACTTTCACAGAGTTATATCAGTTACTCTGAATTTAATGCGGAAGTAAGAAATATGGTCTAACTCTGTGCGAATATAGATACGTTCAGTGTGCTTTTGTATGTGATGAGGAGTTTTCAGACGTCATATTTGCAACTTATAAATCTTATAATAGCACATGTAGGCTATTAGAAAGTTGCTGTTAGATTTAGAGGATGGAAATGCAATATGAAGACTAAAAACACTCCATCAAATAGTTTTGTGTACCTCACTGCAGAACAACTGAATATGAGCACAGCCCACAAGACCTTTTACATGAACACAGTTGTTTTTGAAGAGCTGAAGTAGATTATTAAAATAATCTAATAGTGCAAATCGTTTATTCAACATATTTAAAGAAATAAACTGTCTCTGTTAACACCTATTGAAAGCTATGGAAGCCCATTTCCGCCACTTAAGAAAAAAATTAATGCCTTAAAAAGTCAAAATTATGACATACTTAAGTCATAATTACGAGATTAAAAAGTCAAAATTATGAGATAAAAAGTCGAAATTATGAGATAGGCCTAAAAAGTCGAAATTATGATTTAAGTCATAATTACGAGATAAAAGTCGAAATTATGACTTTAAAAAGTCGAAATTATGAGATAAAAAATCGAAATTATGACGTTACAATTTGAAAATTGACTTGATGACTTTATAAACACATTGGTCACAGGAAAGTGGTCTATAATGATAAACGGGACATTCTGAAATGAGTTAATTTGGCTTAAAACAGTTTGGAGGACCAAGTTCAACACACACCTTTTTAATAAAGCATATACCATTATTTACAGACAAGCAGAATATAGCCCAGAATATGAACGCAATGCGCTGAGCACATTAACAAGCAGAATCACTGAGAATAAGAGGAATGGCAAGAACAGAAAAAAGCGAAGAGGTAACCTTACTAATTACAGCCACACAGTCTTAGATTAAATCAATATCTCACCAGAGGATGATTAAACAACTGCAAAAACAGAATTACCATATTCACTTATTGCAAACAAGTTTGGCTTTATTTCTTTCATATGGTACATGTACAAAGGTTGCTGAAGTCTGTTACCATTATGGTGAATAGTGTTCATTTTCGTTGGGCACTTGGCCATTGACAAACTGCTTAACTGCTTATGATTACACTTCTATTAGGCTTTTTTTTTTTTGGTTTTCATATCTCTAAATGTTTTTGTTATGCAATGTACACAAGCTCTTTTTTAACTGATTTTAACTGATTCTGTGTATAGATCTCATGAAACAGGAGACAATTCCTTTGATGCTTTGAAAAGTTTTACCAGTTCACCAGTGACACTGATTAATAATGTAATCATAACAAAAGCAATTAAAATTTTCAGTACTATTTTCAGCAGAGGGAGCAAAAGTAATTACATAGTTATCATATAATTCAATAAATCATGTTTTAAACATATGTTTTTCCTTTGCATCATTTATGTGTAAAATAGAGAAATATGCAAGGAAAATCTCCGTTTGTCCCCAAAACACTACTTGCATACAGACAGCTGGCCTAGTAGGCCTACTGACACTCAACCCTGCAAGACCATGCTGGTGAACCAGCATCACCAGCTCCATTTTGCTTGAGAACAGCATGGATATGCTGGTCCACCAGCTAGACCAGCACTATACCAGCACAAACCAGCCTGAACCAGCACTAACCAGCAATATACCAGCATAAACCAGCACTATATCAGCATAAACCAGCCTGGACAAGCAGTATATCAGCTCTAACCAGCATAAACCAGCCTGGACCAGCTTGGAATCCATGCTGGTTTATGCTGGATTTTTCAGCAGGGCCTTCATCCACCTGCCTCTTCAGAGCCTTCACATGCTGATGAGAGGATAGACAGCACAGAGTTCTTCTCTCTGCAAAAACACATACAGCTATGTGCTTGAACTTCAGGGTGTCCTGAAGTATGTCGGGAGTTGTCTTATACTGATTGGTATACTAATACTTATACTAAGATTGGTCAGGTACTGTGTTTTAATGTGAAATGTTGCATGGCTCAATGATAATGATTTGCCAAGGGTCAATGCTGCCTCACTTCTGTTTACATTTGTTGATCTTGTAGATTTTATATTAAGCCTTGCAAATTTGTTTGTCAGAACGACTGTACGCATAAGTTCAGTATCAGTAATGTTTGCATTGTTGCCACTGTTTTCCAGAAAGAGTATTTTTATCCACTTTATTTTTAACATAAGAGTTAAATGGATATGGCCATTATTACCTTGAATGTGTGAGACTTACGGTGTAATTTGCATAAGTTATTTCAGCTGTACTATAACAGTCCATTATGCTGCTTGATGCTGCAAAATAGTATTTAGCATGTTATTTTAATTCATGACAGCCATAGCCCAGGGATGTTACAGAAGTTATATAATAAAGGCAATAACTTACATCTGTTAAACTGTGGATTGCAATAAAAAATATTATTAAAGAATATTAAAATTACTGTCCCTCCACTGAAAGCTCATACCACCAAAACTTTTAATCTTCATATAGAAGAGTAAAGAAATCATAAAAAATACATTTATATGAATTGTGAAATGAAATGAGTGTAGTAAAGTCTGTTTATAGCAGTCCCTTTACAGCAAGGTCCTCTAGCTGTCCACTATAAATTTGTATAAAATTATATTTACGTTTAAATGGTTTTATTTGGTAAAATGATAGCTTGAAAAAAAGTCATACACATTAAAAAAAAGAAAACTATAAAACAGTCATTTATTTCACAGCATTCTATTGTCGTAAATGTTGTCTGGATTACATGCAGGAGCTTCTGTTTGTTCACACCAGCTGTTGGGAGATAAAGTTCAAAAATTCATTTGGTGGAAAAAAGTAAATAGTTTGAATCGTGCACATTTGCAGATGTATACATACTGTACTTATATATAATGCTTGCCCATGCTATTAAGTAAGATTATAAATTCTACAAAACTCTTAAAAATTGCAATGGAAGCTACATACACATAGCATATGTTGTTATAGTTTATACAATTATGCCAGTCAAGAAGTGCACACTGGAGAGGAAGTGCAGTATTACATTTGGCATGTTTCACTTTTGTTGTGGATGTGTTTATATGAACTTTGAAGTTTTTAGTAACACATGCAAATTAGTCCAAACCAATATGATGTGACTTTATCCTAGCTTAATTGTTAACATATTTGTATGTAGTTCAGGACAGATATAAAATGAATGATTTAACTACTGCATTGCAGTAACTTACAGGTGGTCATGGTTTGTGTTATGTTGAACTAAAGAATGCAAAGGCACATCCAACACTGCAAGAAAACAACTTTTATTAAATACACTTGATCAAGCATATTACACATATTTTGTATAAGGATTTACCATGAATATCACTTACCTCCTGAAATTTCAGAATAATACACGGAAGCCTGACAGTTCAAATCAACTACAAGACACAAAAATAAGTACTTTACCATCTGATCAATTTACCATCATAACAAAGTTGCAGTATTACAGTTTCTTCAGTTAATCATCATGATGGCTTTCACGTCTCATTGCAACACACTCAGAAGTTGTGGACTTACTTTGGCTGTCGATTTTGCGTCTTCGTTTTTTGAAATACAGAATGACACAGATGGTCAGTGATATGAGAACACACAGAGACACTACTGTGATCATCACTACTACTGTCGAATTAGTTATCGCTGTTTCACTCCCGTAATTGTTGTTGTCTTCTGTCTGACCAACCGTACTGTTCTCTGGGGTTGGATCATCTGTAATCATTAGAGAAAAGATAAATGAACATCATCATCTGAGCCAGTCTGATTAAGTTATTTTTTTATCACGCACATTAATTTTGGTATTTATCTTGTGAATAGTGAAATAGTGAAATAGTGGAAAGTGTTTTAAATTTCAAGTGTTTTCATTTTTTTAAGTTGTTATTTTGCAGCCTTATGCTTACTCTCAGGCCATCTATACATTTCTCCAAATCTGTTCAGGTGCAGAAACAAACTCGCATAGACTACATGTATGTATGTATCATAAATATTATACTAGTTAGTAATTGTGTAGACATGCAGAAACATCAACATTCAGTATGCAAAACAACAATGGAAACAACCAAATTAACTAGTAATTAATTACTTTAGATAATAAATAATAAGACCCCCTAACGAGTAAGGAGCCGGTTTATTTGGAGCGTAGTAGGTGAGACATTCCTCATGGCTGTGCTGGTGAAGCTTATTCAGCACATAAGTGACCGGTGTGTTTCCTCACCTCACTAGAATGAAGCTCTGTCTACATCTTGGATGGCCTAAGGGTAAGTGAATTTTCTACAGTTTTATATTTCTGGATGAACTATTCCTGTAACTCAGTACTTAGTCGAAGCATCTTCTGCAGCAATTACAGCCTTAAAGGGAACCTATTATGCCCCTTTTTACAATATGTAATATAAGTCTCAGGTGTCCTCAGAATGTGTCTGTGAAGTTTAAGCTCAAAATACCCCATTTATTATATCATTTTGAAAATTCCTATTTTGAGTGGAAGCAGAAACAATCTGTTTTTGTGCATGTCTCATTAAATGCAAATGAGCTGCTGCTCCCCGCCCCCTTTTCCAGAATAGAGCTGTGCCTTTACAGCTCACTCACAGAGGGGTCTCTGCTAATATGGCAGTCTCAGTCAACAGTCATGGGTGGGGTTTGTAAAATGTGACGTCACATTTTATGGATTCTGTGAACTTGTGAGACACTGCTTATGATTTGTGGGCACACACACACACACACACACACACACACACACAAATGAAATTTCTGTCAACATTTACTCCATATTTCTGTATGGAAGTCAATGGCTACCATCAGCTGTTTGGTTACCAACGCTCTTCAAAATATCTATGATGATGACAGAATTTTAATTTTTGGGTGAACTGCCCCTTTAAGTTGTTTGAACTAGTTCAACTTGTCCATTTGAGTTAGCAATACTCTCATTTCCTGGTTACCTATACAAACACACAAGTAATCACCTTTGTGAACTCAAAAGTGATGAACTACTTGTAAATGTTCTTAGGTCTTCTATATAAAGACATTATTTGGTGTTATATGGCATTATGGTTGTGCGTGGAGTTATACTGTGTAGAGTGATCAGTCACATGGCATTTGCAGCTCAGGTGATTGGCTCAAAAACAAAAGGCTTCTAAACCGGATTGCTAGCTTAAGTCTTACCTCTAACGAGTAATGAGCAGGTTTATTTGGAGCGTAGTAGGTGAGACATTCCTCATGGCTGTGCTGGTGAAGCTTATTCAGCACATAAGTGACCGGTGTGTTTCCTCACCTCACTAGAATGAAGCTCTGTCTACATCTTGGATGGCCTAAGGGTAAGTGAATTTTCTACAGTTTTATATTTCTGGATGAACTATTCCTGTAACTCAGTACTTAGTCGAAGCATCTTCTGCAGCAATTACAGCCTTAAAGGGAACCTATTATGCCCCTTTTTACAATATGTAATATAAGTCTCAGGTGTCCTCAGAATGTGTCTGTGAAGTTTAAGCTCAAAATACCCCATTTATTATATCATTTTGAAAATTCCTATTTTGAGTGGAAGCAGAAACAATCTGTTTTTGTGCATGTCTCATTAAATGCAAATGAGCTGCTGCTCCCCGCCCCCTTTTCCAGAATAGAGCTGTGCCTTTACAGCTCACTCACAGAGGGGTCTCTGCTAATATGGCAGTCTCAGTCAACAGTCATGGGTGGGGTTTGTAAAATGTGACGTCACATTTTATGGATTCTGTGAACTTGTGAGACACTGCTTATGATTTGTGGGGATTTAAAAAAAAAGTGGCGGCCCTGGTATGATGTGACAGGTTTGCACTCCTGCATTTGGGGATTTTCTGCCAATCTTCTCTGCAGATCCTCTCTGGCCATGTCAGGTTGGAGGGGGACTACAGCGGACAGCCCTTTTCAGGTCACTCCAGAGATATTTGCTTGGGTCCAAGTCCAGTCTCTCACTGGGCCACTCAAGGATATTCATGAAGTTTTGCATTGCCTTGGCTGTGTGCTTGAATGTCCTGTTGGAGGTGAAACTGTGGCCCAGTCTGGGGTCCCTGATCCAGGTTTTCATTAAGAATCATTTATCATCTTTGTATTTTTGTTAAATTATTTTTTTTTTACTTTTCTTCTACCCTGACTAGCTCACCAGTCCCTGTTGCTGCAAAAACACCCATCTTGAAAACGAGAAACTTGTTTCTTAAGAGTCCTTTAGCTGTTTTTCATGTGTCATACACTGAGGAGAAGCTTCTGTCTGTCCACTCTGCCAGAGAGCTCAGATCAGTGAAGTGTTGCAGTGATTTTCACACATGATCTGTGAACCCAACCAGAGTGACTGTCATGTCATCTTGGCCTTCTTCTTACCAAAGCTCTTCTCCCCCCATTTGCTCAGTTTGGCTGGGCTACCAGCTGTAGAAAGTGTCCTGGTTGTTCCAAACTTCTTCCATTTAAGAATTTATGGAGGCTGCAGTTTTGGAAGCCTTTAATGCAGCAGATCTGTGTTTTAACACAATTGTGTTTCTGCTCTGACATGCATATTCAGCTGTTAGACCTTATATAGACAGGTGTGTGTTTTTCTAAATCATATCCATATAATTAAATTTGTCATAGATGTATAGAATTATCTCAAAGATGATCCAGAGAAATAGCATTAATCTAAGCTTAACTTCAAATGTTTTTTTTGTGTTTTTTTTTTTGTGGCAAAGTTATAACAAGTCAGGGTTTGTTTTGCTTTGACAATATAGGTTATGGAGTGTAGACTGATGTGGGGGAAAAATCATTTAAAAGCATTTAATTAAAAAAGGTCTGAATGCTTACAGTAGCCTTCCTGTATAGGGTCTGCATCCACTGTATAATCAAAATAAAAACATTTTTACAGTACTAAATGTATCTAAAATATATTTAGACAGTAATACAAATGTTAACTCAAGCTTCTTTAAATATTCACACATTCATACTATTGTATAACCAAACAGGTATTAAAACCCAGTGGTTCTCAAAGTAGTTTTTGGTTGTGCATTGGCATTCAGTGCCGCTTTCTAATATAACGTCTCAGGTTACTTGTGTAACCATGGTTCCCTGAGTAGGGAACTGATGTGTGCTCCCGGCGCCTATTTATACTATAGTCGCACCGGTAGTGACGTCATGGCTGTCGCCGGCCAACGAGTTGGTGTTTTTTCAATGTATGCTTCAGACACGGGTCACGACGAGGCGTTCCCCATAGCGACCCCTAGAGGACGCAGTTCGAAGTTCCCATGAAAGGTAACTTCTCTAACAACAGGCTATAATAACCACAACATGACTTAATTTTAATCTAAACCTTAACCTAAGCATCTTTACTTGCATGTTTCAACATATTTACTGGATTACCATACCCAAAACATAATTTTGACTAACCCATCACCACAGGTCACATTTTAATAGCAAAACGTAATCTTTCAAATTAATCAATGTCTGTCAGAGAGTCTGCATTGAGGCTTTATAGGGTTAGAAATACTGCATTCCAACACACCTTTCAGCAGCAGCTTCACTTCATAGCAGGTTTTTTCATTCACTCTGCACTGATACCACAATTCATCCGTGTGGACTGCTTCCCTTATAAGCAGGGATCCATTTGCTAGTTTTCTCGCTCTCTCATACAGAGGCTTCAGGAGTTTCTCTGTGCTGCTTGAGGGCTTGTTTGGTGGCCGATAGTGAGATATATCTGTTGATTGATGACCAGTAATGACTTTCCAAGTGACTCGTTCAGTTCTGTTTTGAAGAGGTTGTTCAGAGCATGGCAGCAACACCGATGAGCCTGGTGTTGGATGGACAGAGTCCAAAGTTTTACACTCTGAAATCAAAGAAATATACTACATTACAATGGGTTACCTGGGGATTATTTGCTCGTTTCAGAAATTTGCATTCTTACCTTTGACCCTCAGGTTAAATCGAGTTGAATGAAGGCAGTCCTGATCCTTGTAGACCTGACAGTCATAAAAGCCATCATCATATAATCTGATGTCTTTCAGATCAAGTGTAACATTTCCATCATCTTTCCTCACAGACCATCTCTGGTGCTCTGATGCTGGAGAGATGTCTGGATATATCAGGATGTCTTTATCTTGGGTTTTCTTGTGTAGTTTGACTGTTAGAGACTCCAGCGGGTGGGTTGTGGTTAGGCAAGAAATAGTCATGCTGTCACCCTGAACACAGTTTATGTTCAACTGATGAACCTGCTTGCAGCGTCTCTGTGTCGCCACTGAAAGGAAATAAAGAGCAAAATGAGACATAAACCACTGAGAGAACAGAGACGTGAAAACCACCACATCACTTACAGTAACAAACAGCATTTACTTTTTATTACGAGTACTTGTAACTCTACTTTTTTTAACTGGTTCTACTTCTACATGCATCAATACATTTTAGTGAAAGGCTACAGAGGATAAAAATAAATGTTGCAATTATGTCTCTTTTTTTGTCTATATCCACTAGTTTGTAAATTCGTGTAGTAAGTTGTGTTCAGCAGTGATTAGTAAAGCCGTGGGTAAAGTGGGTAACTTGTCAGACTTCCAAAAAGGGCAAATCATGAGTGTCTGTAACATTCAAAGAAAAGAAAAGTGGTCGAAAAGTGAAAGTGAATGATAGAGACCGTCAAACACTAAGAAGGACTGTCTAAACAACACAGAACTACTGCAGCAAAGGGACAGAAAACCTCAGGATTCACTTTGAGGACATGTTTCCCCAAAATCTAATCACAGAGAACTTCATAAAGCAAACATCCATGAAAGAGCGGAAACTGCTCAAACTTTAATCACAGACACTGATGCTAAAATGGGGAAAAGATGGTGTCATAATCATAAGTCCTGGACAGTTGGAGAACCAAGATGAACTTCATCATCTGCCCCACCAAACAAATCATCTGCCTAGAATATCAAACCACTGTGGATAGTTTTGAAGAGAAGTGTGAGAAGATGATTCTCTGAAGCTACTGACAGATGTTTTGATAGACGACGTTTGACTGCGGAGACTAGTCCAAAGTTGTATAAATCAGTTTGAAGAAGGTTGGAGGCTGAATTAAAGGCAAAGGGTTGTTAAACAACTTAGTTAAGAAATACTGCCTATTTCCCAGGTGTTCACATCATTTTGTCTAGCTCTAACTTATATACATTTTTTACAGATGTATTGTATATACTCCCTCTGAACCAAAGAAACCAGTGATGTTATCAGTGCAATAATATTTAATTAGTTGAGTAGTGCAGTTTAAACTTTGCACACCAATGTTTATTAAAACAGCCCAGTAACATTTTCTTACTTTAAAAATGCATGTATTTTTATACAAAAAAAAAGGTTAACAGCAGCTTCCAAATTGCAAGTCCACTACATAACATATGAATGACAACATTTGACATGCCACATTTACACACCTGTAGTATTATTTTGTGTGGTGGTTGAATGAATTTGACTTCATATAAAATACACTTACCTTTGCATTCTGATAAACCTGCTATTAGAAGATACAGGAGTTGGAAATGTGAAAGCTTAAAACTCCTCATCGTATACAGACACTCAAAGCAGGACAGCTGAACTCTATATGAGCACAGGCCACATCACTTCACTTTCACAGTTCTTTTCAGCTACTCTGAATTTAATGCGGAAGTAGGAAATTATGGTCTACTCGTGTGCTCATTTAGAGGCCTTATATTAGAAAGCTGCTATTACAATTTTTAGAAGATTGAAATATAAAGACTAAAAACTCCCCAATTACAGAGACATTTCGAGTAGCTCACTGCAAAACATTTGAATATGAGCACAGGCCACAAGACATTTTACATTCACACAGTTGTTTTTGAAGTGCCAAAATAGGAAATGTGATCTATGTAAAATGTGAAAGACGTACAATTTTGCACATTTCAAATCACCAAATCAATCAGCTACATGATTTTGATATTATAAAAACATGATCATATATTCAACATACTTAAAGATATAAACTTGGCCAGAAAGTATTCAAATGTTTGGTGTTTAGTACTGTTGCTGTCACTGCTGCTGTCAGTATTGCCACTTGTATGAGAACAAATACATTTTGAAGGTCCAGAATCCAACACTCAGTCTGTACCATATGTCATACACATCAGCTACAGTGCTCTCTGCTGTAGAGAAGACTAGCAGACTACCAGAAGACTGCAGTTTCTATTATCAATTTTAAATCAGGACTAAAGTTACTGTGTGTTCAGAAATGAAGCCTCAATGAAGAGGAATTCCAGATTCCTCTCTCGGTCTTCAGCAGGAACTGGTCTGTAGGTTGCTCTCAGTGAGGATGGAGGTTATGCTGGAATGATCGTACAATCCATCATCATCATCATCATCATCATCATCATCATCAGAGCAGCACTGAAGACTCCAGAGCTGACTGTTGGGCCTGCTGGATCTTCCTCCTGTCCTGTGGGAAAAAAAAGCAATACAATAAAAGTGATGCAGACAGTAGTGTCTAAGAAAAAACAATCGTATGTATTTATTTTTTACTATTATTTGGAAGAGCCATGGCACACTAGGGCACCTTGAAGCAAACTTAAGTGGGCTGCAGGATGAAATAATTGTAATTAATATAATATTGTTAATATAATAATATGAATAGTAGTATTACAGTTTTTTTACAATCTCATAAGACACTTTTTGCAAAACACAACACACCATTCTCTATGTAACACACAAAAATCTTACAGGAAGTATTTTGATTTCCTTTTTCAAAAACAATCAAAATGCTACACTAATCCATCACATATACTGTAGATCATCTGAACACTGAACCAAACACATCAAAACAGCAAACCAGCCATAATTGCTCTCCATTTATCTTCTCTCTCAGTCAAACACACATACTTGAGTTCATTCTCTAGTGCCGTGACTTTGGACTGCAGCGCCTCCTTATGTTCCTGCATCTCCTCCATGTCTCTGATGTCCTTCCTCCTCAATCCCTCAGCTGAACAACCTCATATACACAGATCTTCACACACACTGCTCTATATGAGCACATGTATTGTGACGTGTGTATTCTTCACCTGGTCTCTCTGCTCTGTGTGCTGATGTGTCTCCTCATCCAGGGTGATGTTCAGCTCCTTTAGTTTACTCTCCAACCACTGCTGAGAGGACAGCACAGAGTTCTTCTCTTTGCAAAAACACATACAGCTATGGGCTTGAACCTCAGGACGTCCTGAACTTGAAGTGTGTTAGGAGTTTTCTTATGCTCTATGCTTCTTTATGTTAAGTGTTTTAACGTGAAATGTTGCAGGTCTCAACAATAAGGATTTGCTCAGGGTTGGTGCTGCACTGACTGCCTTTTACATTTATGATGTAACTTTTACTTTTACATTTAACAACTTCACACAAATTTACACTTACACTTACATTTAATGACTGGAAGCATTAGTGGATTAGAATGAGTTAAAAAATTTAAACAAATTAGTAATGTTTTGCATTGCATGCCACTATGAGCCAGAAAAAGTATTTTTATCCACCTTATTTTTAACATAAGAGCATATGTGACCCTTTTTACCTTGAATGTGCAAGACTTCCGGTGTCATTCACTTCCAGTTTTTTTTAGCCTTACAAAAAGATCCCATTATGCTGCTTGATTTTGCAAACTGGTATTTGTTATCATATTATTTTAATTTATGACAGTCATAGCCCAAGGATGTTACAGAAGAAATACAATAGCTGGAACACCATTCTGTAAGTCAAAGTCTGTTAAATTGTGTATTGCAATAAAAAATATGATTAAATAATGAGTGTGTATAGAAAAAAAAGAAAAAAATTTCACGAGTCATTCTACAAATCGTACAGTTTCCACTGGTGTCCTTCATATATGCATATGTGTATAAAAATGCATTACACCCCTGTTACTATCTAAACTCTTTTAACAGCAGTGAACTATTCTATAAATCTATTCTGACTCACTATTCCATAAATCATCGTCCTTTAAAGAAGAACTTTTTTCAAGGAAAAGCTAAAGTCTTTTTTTTATCACTTACATTTTGTTTAGGGGACAAAATAGATAAAGAAATGGCAGCATTAAATTCTCTAAGAAGCATCTTGTTTCACAAGCACAAGACTTGTAATAATGTCAGATTGAACTGTAAAAAACTCAACCCTGTTACATTTCTTAAAGGAATAGAAAATGCCTAAACACTGTATTGTGTATTGTGTACACTGCAGAGTGTATAGTAATGTCTGTTGATAGCGGTTCATACAGCAAGTTATTCTAGCTGTCCATGGTTTTAAAATTGTTTTAGAAAATTGTTGTAGAAATTTTGCATTACATTACTTGCTCACCAATGGATCCTCTGCAGTGAATAAGTGCCGTCAGAATAAGAGTCCAAACAGTGATAAAAAAAAACAACAACACAATAATCCACAAGTAATTCACACGACTCCAGTCTATCAATTAATGTCTTGTAAAGTGAAAAGCTGCAGGAAGAGTCATGGTTGTTCCAAACTTATTCCATTTAAGAATTAAGGAGGCCACTGTGCTCTTGGGATCCTTCAATGCAGCAGACCTGTAACACAATTTCTACACTCCAATCAATGTGTACAACTATCTCAAAGATAATTCAGAGAACTTGTTTTCAGCTGAGCTGAAAATTTTTAGCATAAGGCTGGAACACCATCAAATGTGAAAAAGTTAAACAGCCTGAATACTTTCTGAACCCACTCTCAAAATACAAACAGTTTTTATAATAGAAAAAGTATCCAAAAATTCAAAACATAAGTGGTAATACAATACAGTTACTCACATTTAGATTTTTAATTTTTCAGCTGGTATAAATACTTTATCCTTCTGCAAGCTTGTTTAAAATGTTCCCTAATATGATCTAATATAAAAGATGTGCCCCAGAGACAGATCCCCAGCAAAGACCATGTCACTTAGATGGCCATCGGGACAAGACCACAGGAACCAGATGACTCCTCTGCACAATCTGACTTTGCTGCAGCCTGGAATTAAACTGCTGGTTTCGTCTGGCCAGAGGAGAACTGGCCCCCTGACTGAGCCTGGTTTCTCCCAAGGTTTTTTTTCTCCATTTCTGTCACCGATGGAGTTTTGGTTCCTTACCGCTCTCGCCGCTGGCTTGCTTAGCTGGGGACACTTAAAATCATTGACTTGATTGCACAGATACTTTTTGAACTGAACAGAGCTGGATGATGACATCATTGAATCAATGATGAACTGACTAAAAATTGAGAATTTACTGTTGTCCTTTTGCATTATTACGCACTGTTTTCCTATTTAATACTGTAAAGCTGCTTTGACACAATCTGTATTGTTAAAAGCGCTTTATAAATAAAGGTGACTTGACGACAATCTAACTAAAGGGCTATAATTACCACAACAAATTTTACACAATTTAATTAATGTCCATCATAGAGTCTGCATTTAGACTTTATGGTTATATTGGATTGAAAACATACCTTTCATGAGCAGCTTCACTTCATAGCAGGTTTTTTCATTCACTCTGCACTGATACCACAATTCATCGATGTATAGTGCATCTCTTATAAGCAGAGATCCGTTCTTTAGTTGTCTCGCTCTCTTATACAAAGGCTTCAGGAGTTTCTCTGTGCTGCTTGAGGGCTTGTTTGGATGGCGATATTGGGTTATTTCTGTTGATTGGTGACCATTAACAACTTTCCAAGTGACTCGTTCAGTTCTGTTTTGAAGAGGTTGTTCAGAGCATGGCAGCAACACCGATGAGCCTGGTGTTGGATGGACAGAGTCCAAAGTTTTACACTCTGAAATCAAAGAAACATACTACATTACAATAGGTTTCTTGGGGATTATTTGCTTATTTCAGAAATTTGCATTCTTACCCCTTACGGAACAAAACTATATGGGAATATACTGCAAAATATAATGCGATATATTACATAATACATTTCCATATATTGGAAACTAGTGTTTATATTTTTCAATATACAGCAATCTATGCATTGACAATATATGGCTATGTATTGATACATACAAATATATTTAGAAATTAAGACAAAGATAAATCTAATATTTATAATGTTTGAGTCTTTATTGCATATATATTGCTTATAGATGCTCCCATATAAATGTGAATGTATGTACACATATATACACACATTCACACAATTAGTTAAAGCAGATCTCTATTTCCCAGCATGCTTTGCTTCTGACTGTTAAAGGAGAGTAAAAAATTTTAAATTAAGTGTTATGTCGTATTTTGGCTCAATATTAATATAGGGGGAGATCTTTTAGTGCTTACTGTTGTATTATTTTTAAATTTAAAAGGGTTTCTGGTATGTGTAAGTTTGTGGGGTTACCATTATGCAGAAGAGTAGAGCCTGTGGTTAAGAAGACGACTAGCTAAGCACTGTCAAATAATTTTACTTTGTTTAAAAAGTATTGTTGTGCACTTTTTAGCACAATCATAAGTACTTTAATATGAGCAGGATGTGTTTATACTTTTGTGAACTGATTACGTTTTAAAATATAAAGTATGTACATCATAAATGATTAAGAAATGAATATTTCCAT